ATGTGGTATACTGCATCCGCTGTACCCGGTGTGGCTTCCTCTACATCAGGGAAACCAAGCGGAGGCTCGGGGACCGCTTTGCAGAACACCTACGCTCGGTTCACAATAAACAACTGCACCCCCCAGTCGCGAACCATTTCAACTCCCCCTCCCATTCCTCAGACGACATGCCCATCCTGGGCCTCCTGCAGTGCCACAACGATGCCACCCGAAGGTTGCAGAAACAGCAACTCATATTCCGCTTGGGAACCCTGCAGCCCAATGGTATCAATGTGGATTTCACAAGTTTCAAAATCTCCCCTCCCCCTATTGCATCCCAAAACCAGTCCAGCTCGTCACTGCCTCCCTAACCTGTTCTTCCTCCCACCTATCCCCTCCTCCCACCTCAAGCCGCACCTCCATCTCCTACCGACTAACCTCATCCCGCCCCCTTGACCTGTCCGTCCTCCCTGGACTGACCTATCCCCTCCCTAACTCCCCACCTACACTCACCTTTACTGGCCCCATCCCCGCCTCTTCGACCTGTTTGTTTCCTCTCCACCTATCCTCTCCTCTATCCATCTTCTATCCGCCTCCCACTCTCTCCCTATTTATTTCAGAACCCCCTTCCCCTCCCCCTTTTCTGATGAAGGGTCTAGGCCCGAAACGTCAGCCTCTCATGGTTTTCTACAGCCAGGCAGCAAGAACACATCTTTCCGGTCAACACTCTCAGCGAATGTACTTTCAGTTGGCGGTCAATTTTGTGGGATCTGTGCATTGGAAACTAGTGAAGTCATTATGGTGTAAACGCAACTAAACGAAAGAGCAAAAAGGTACCTTCGACTCAGCCCCTGTATAGGATACAGAGTCTAATATGATTATAATAGCAAGCAGCAGCATTAAATAAGAATCATAGTCCACTGGGATATAAACCCACAGCCTCAGGCCCCATGACTGAATATAACTGGTTGTTATAGGTTTAAGCAAGATTGAAGGTCATGTGAAGGTCTTTTACCTAATTGGTTGGTGAATGGTACAAAATAATGTCAACAGTGGGCTTTTAATCATCACATAAGTTAAAGTAGTTCCTGGGGCACAGCAATATCATGCACAAGTCAGGTTTAGCAACTTATAGACAATAGGAATGCCACAGAGAGAGAGAAAGCCCCCATGTGATCTAGTGAGTGATTAAGAGGCCTTGTCTTCACAGAGAGCAGGTATTCTATAGCAATGCATTCTGTACCAGTGAATGTATTAATAAGACATGCTTTTTCTTGAAAGACTTGCTTCCTTCCAGTTACAACATAGTGCCATTAATGTAACAACATAATGCTGAATCGTTTTTAAACTCCTGCCTTTTATTTAAATTTGAAGAATAGACTTACTTTCTAGTCATGAAGTGCCTGTTGATCTCTTCCAGTGACTGCCCCATGGTCTCAGGCAGGTACAGACATATAAAACCAACTGAAGCAAATCCCACCAGTCCATAGAATAGGAACGTCCCAGACAGTCCAATAGTATCTGTATAAAGAACAAGATAACATTCATTTTTCAAGTATGAACTCAGTATTTTTCAACATTAATATCGGCCCTCACCCAGCAAACAGGTTTCCTCTTGAGCTACTTGCAATCAATAATAACTTTCTGTGTGTCATTCCACTATTACAAAACAATACATTTAGTCACCTCACCAGCTAACCTTTTCTTTTAATACATACATGACAAATTTGTGTCTTGAGCAGGTCAGGATTCCATTCTGTTATATTTTTATTTGAAAATAAAAGACATCCATCTACATTTCCTTCCCATTCCCACCAACTGACATTGGTTCTCTGTCTGTCAGTAGGATTCAAGGAACTCAAATCTTTGAATTTTAAATTATTTACAAGAAATATGTATATCCTCAATGGATGAAATTTTTGACCTCAGTGACACAATATGCTCACTTCAAAACATAGGCGTATACTCAGGACCTGACATTCCTCCCTTAATCAGAATGACTAGTCATTTGCAATTGCTGTCCAGGGTCATTTGCTGCCGCAGAAAGTTGCTGCATTTGCCAAGGTAGCAGCAGTCAATACTCTCCAAATGTAGTTATTCACTCTGCATAAATTCTTTGGAGATATTCTGACACGATAAGGCCCAACATAAACCCAAGGATTCATTTCTCACTCACCAATTACATCCAGGAATGTGACAGTAACAATTATATTCGCAGCCCAGTTGAAGCTGCTGGAGAATGCAAATGCCCGGCCTCTGATTCCAGCAGGGAATATCTCGCTCAGAACCAGCCAAGTCACTAAAAAAAAAGTCAGAGCAATTTCCGTCAAGTTTGTGGCACTGTTGCAGCTATTGTACCTTTGTGTTGAATCTATCATGGATTCGAAACAAAAACAGCAAAGACAGATTTAAGCAAACTCATTTATAGATTGAATCTCAAATGTTTTTCACCTGTCTCTCCTGCTCCAGAGACAGTCACCAGCACCTAAAAGAATAAACGTGGGGAAGATCCTGTTCTTCCCAAATAGTGTGACAGAGTGCGGGGGGCATCAGCTTCATCAAGAGCATGAGATAGCACAGAGACAGCACAGGGACAGCAGCTTCATAAGGAGCATGCGAAACAGTAAGGTCAGCAGCTTCTCAAATAACGTGAGGAAGAGGGGACAGCAATTTCATAAAGAAAAAAGCAGACCTGCAGCAGAAGGGCAACAGTGACACGAAATAAGAACCAGCAGCAAAGAGCCTCTTTAACTTGCTTTTACCTGTCAGAGCCAAAGTCTAACTTCGCAGATTGGTAGATCTCTTTAGATAGGTCAAGTGGTTTAAATCAGGAGACATTATTACAGTTAAAAAGTATACGTAAGAAATTCACTTCTAAAATCTTTAACATCCAAATGTATGAATTAAATAGAATAGAAATGGCTGGGCAGGCGATGTGTTGTAGCAGTAGTATGTGGGACCTGACGTTCGCCAGTGTGATCCATGGCAACCGTATTGGCGGCAAATGTTGGC